AAAGGAGCAATCCTAGGAACTCACACAGTTTCCATATTTCCATCCTACTTCATGTTTTCATTAGCCAGAATAGAACATCTCACAATTCACAGATAACTAAATAGCAAGGTGGTAGATTTAAATCCAACCATATCAATAATCACATTAAATGTAAATGGTCTAAATAAGGCAGAGATTTGCACATTGGATTTAAACAGCAAGACCCAACTAGATACTACCTACAAGAAACCTGCTTCGACTATAAAGACACAAATAGGTTAAAAGTAAAAAGATGAAAAACGTATCATGTAGTGAATAAAAATATAAGCATACATAAAGAGGCACAATCATAGTCTTCTAACAGACACATATATCCTTTAGCATGGGGGTTAAATTAGAAATAGGGCTACTAAAGCAAGTTACAGACCCACAATCACGCAGTTCTTGGGGAGGTGAATGTCCAGTTCTGTGCTTGGTAATTTTGGCATCTTCAAATCTTCTTAAGCCATGATGTGTTCCCAGTTACAGATTATTTTACTTATTGTTTACCAATTGTACGTCAGAAATGAGAAAGGGCTTTTACTAATCCTCAATGAACTACTATTCTTTACTGCTTTCTCTTTTATCTTCCTTTCCTTTCTCTTTCTTCTTTTTCTTCCTCCTCTTCCTCTTTCTTATCATTCCCTTTCTTTTTTTCTTTATCATTTCTTTGGAAATGTCTTGTATCATTGTAAAATGTGCATTTGAATGAATAAGTGATTCATTTTCTAGGCATTTTTTTTAAAAAAAACTTCATTAGAGCTATCTCCCTTTGGCTTCTACAATGGGTTAAAATAAGTCATAGATTATCAAATAATGGCAGAAAGAAAAAAAAAGAAATATATTGGAAAGTTCTACTTAATTCAAAGAAGGCAATGTAGGGCACATTAGCAAGCATTGCTGAGCACATAGAATTTTGCTCACCCTGCTGTACTGATGACCTATCAGGAGAAAGACAATTACAGTCTTCAGGACTGTAATTGACTGATATATGTGCATCCACATTTGCATGTAACAGTATTTCTAAAATGAATAGCACCATAAAAAGTCGGAACTTTTAGAGGTGGGGGGTAGCACAAAATTAACTAGGCCTGAAGCTGAAAGCCTAATTATGTGTTATATGTCATTGGGATTAAGATTGTTATATGTCACTGGAATTAGGATAAAGACTAAAGAGTAGACATCTTAAGGAGCAGATTTTGGCTCAATAATTGGGAAAAAAATGTTCTAACAATTACAATGTCTGAAAATTGGAATAAGTTATTTTTCTACACCTGTTCATTTCAGTCATTGAAAGGATTAAACAGAGGTCGGATTCAAGACTGTGCTAACCTATATGAAGCTTTGGGTAAATTAGGAAAAGTTACCCTGTCTGATGGACTTAAAAAATCTTGCTTCCCCTGTGTGGATGTATTCCATGCCAGTTATGTGGCTTTCTGAGTGCAGCACGGCCTTAGTTTCAGCCTTTCCCCCTCAGGTGGGGGCCTTCTGTAGTGTCTTCTTATTAGAAATGTGGAAGATCAACTTTCTGAAGTGGGTATGAGTTTGGAGTTGATGCCCTCCAATGTTAGCGTCTGCATTTCCAGGTGTAACCTAGATATAAATCAGTGCTTTAGATGTCCCAGTCTTCACACAGACCATTCTCAAAGAATCATCATGCCACGATCAAAAATATTGTGAGAAAAATTTCAGTCTTTACTGTGTCTCTCAAAATTGTTACATGTGATCCAATATATCCCTCACACTTCGTAACTGTCCCAGAGGCTCTTACCTGCCACCCTCTAAAATTTTCTCTGAAACCCTAATTCATAGGGTTCTCTACATCTCCCTTTTCTCCTTCCTTCCTCCTGCGTTTCCCATCTAATATTTCTTTTCTCCATTCTCCAGATTCTATAATATTAGAAAAAAGAACTGTGTTGAACAAAGAACTTTCCTTAGATTGTGAGAGAACTGGGAGAAATTGAGGAAGATAAAAATCTCTTCTTGTTTTCCTCCTGGTGTCTCTAATTCTCATTTTCTTTCCACCTATTTTCTCTGATTCTTTAATAGCACCATCTGGAAACCAAGCTGAGATAGACTAAATGATTTTTTGGGTGGTTTCAGGAGTAGAAACATTTGTTTGTTAATATTTATTAAGCAAATCCCATGTCTACAGCTCCTTCTACTGGATCTTAAAAAAAGAGGCAAAGCAAATTATGTCAATAATCCTTGCTCAAAAGGAATTTACAATCTCATGAATCAGACTGGATAAAATCACATGAAATAGATTTAAAGGAAGAAAACCAATAAACAGTGAAAATGACTGCAGCTCTATACCCACGAATAGACTGAGAATTACCTAAATGTTGATCACCTGTCAGGAGCAGAACTGGAGAGAAATCAGGGAAAGTTTCATGGAGGAGGTAAATATTGAGTAAATTAAACATTTACTCAAGATGTAAAGAAGATGGAAAGGACCATGCAACTAAAAAAATTAGTATAGAGATAGACGGAAGAGTCAACGTAATGTGTGTGAGTATACTCACCTGCTAGAACAGTCTAGGCAAGATGAGGAGCCCTTGTTCTCAATGAAAATGCAACTCTCCCTTCTCCCCACATCACTTATTGTATAACTTGATTGTTATTTATCTTGTTCTGCCTTGAGTTAGTTAGTTATACATTTTCAAATTTTCTTCATGAAATGGTAAATCCTAGAATATAGAGACAATATCCCCCTCCTCCCCCTCTTCCTTCTACAGCACTTCACAGAATCTAGCAAATTATGATTGTTCAATAAAAAAATGCTGAATTAAATAGAATTGATAGGAAACTAGGCAGCGTAAGGGTAGGGAAACAGAGAAGGTCTATATTGCTTCTGCTAATGAGTTTAAGTTTGATATTGGAGATCACTGAAGTTCAAACATATCATTTATATGATCAAATGAGGTTTTAAGAAGAATTCTTCTGTTGGTCCATGTATGAAGTAGAAGACAATAAGTTCATCTTTTTATTGGTATAGGGATTGAGAATCTCATATAGATGGTGTGTAGTACTGAACTTTAAGCCACTCTTAGTCATTGAAACTTTTGAATAAACATATTTAGCCTTCTTGAATTTTATGGGCTGGTCAAGTTACTCTAAGAATCTTGCATGTGAAGAAATTTCTTCATAAAAATTTTGAGTATTTTTGGTATTGCTGGTTATATGTAGGAGTGATCCATGCTCTGGAGTGAAAATTTGGCATGCTTTAGGTAATATTAATATGAATGTATGTAGAATGGGAAAAATCTGGAATTGGAAGTCCAGATTTAAGCTTTAAAAAGATTTTTAGGAAAGATTTATTCTAAATTTTAGGAATTTTTTGATTGGGAGACTTCAGAAGTATTTCATTAAACTAATTTCTCCTCCTTTCTGATCTTAAACTGTTTTAGAATAATTGCTGGCACAGATGTGATTTAGGTACTTCTATATAAATTCACCTTCAATTCTGAAAATCCTGTTAATGTGAATTCTTTGCTACTAGGATTTAACACAAATTTTAAAATGGTTGTAATTACACAAATAATGGCTGTTAATTGGTACTTTATGTGTTTATATATATGTATACATCTATACATCTATACGTATACATGTATATATACATGCACACATGTATACATGTGTGCACATGTATACATATGTATACATGTATATATACATGCACACATAAAATATAACATATAAAACAAAGTTAAAGATTGACTTTTGTGAAGGAAAAGCAATATAACATTTCTATTAAGAGTGGATTTACATTTGCCTGGTGAGTCCACCTCTCATGGAAAGAGGTAGGGTTAAAATGCTACAACTTAGTCTCTAAATGAGGCTCTCTCTATGGGCTCCAAACCTGAACTGTTGAATAATTTGGAAATTTAATATGATGTAAACGATTGGAAAAAGAAGATTCTATTCTGTAGATACAAATAAAGTGTCTCTCTCTCTCTCTCTCCCTCTCTCTCTTTTCATTGTATTTAAAAAGAAAGGCAGTTTTGCACAAATTCAAAGCCAGAGATGTGATCTTTGGAAAACAGAAAGCAACTCTTCACTTTAATTTGCAAACAATGGGTGAAAGTACAGCAAGGGACCTTAGAAATAGCCAAGGGATCCAAGCACTTTGTTATTCTAAAGGATCCCAGAAACCAGATTTCTAGTCTTTAGACAAATGCGCATTAAAAGGGGCTGCAGTAAACTATATACATGGTAATCTTTTCCTTGGCTCCCTAACTTCAGTTAGTATATTGGCTTTTTGGTTTAATTCCAGTGGAACAGTTCAGAAATGCAGTCTTTTTTTTCTTGGGGCTGAGAGAAACAATCATAAAATAAAAATCTTTGATTGTCTGTTCTATTATAAAATGTAACACACTTTCTTAAAAAGATAACACTCATCCCTAAAGTTATGAGAAAAGGCGGCAGCACCACAAAAAAGTTAGGGACACTTCAAACAATAGTTTGAGCCATATGTTGTTCCTCAAAAAATTTCAGTTACCCTAGCATAAGTGTGTAATTACAGGCTTAGAGAAACAGAGAAAACTGAATGAACAGTTTCAGAGACAGGGAAGATCTCTAGCCACAAATATTTGCTAATTGTGATACTTATTTTCTTAGCCCATGAGAAGAAATTACAGTGTGTTTATGAGAACTAGTCACTCCTTTCCCAGACAGGGCAGTGGCTATCTGATATTTCTGTATGAATGAAAACCTCATCTGCCAGGGAATAAAAATGATAAAGCCCTTTAGCAATACCCTGTCATGTCTATGAATTTTGTAGAACTGGAAGTCATCTGGTCTGTTGAAAATATATAGCTTCCAAAGAAGTTAGGCTGGATTCTCTGGATAAATTCTGTGTGACCGGCCCCTGTGGCAGTTTTATGATATTGCATAGCCTGTAGGGAGAGACTGGACTAGCCGGATGCTTCCTGGTTTCATTAGCATAGCCCAGCCCACTTCCAACACACGCCCAGAACTACCTCATTAACCATTGGGATTGCAGCCAAAACATAAGACTACAGTGAATATAAGAGGAATTACTGGCGAGAGAGAGCTGTAGACTAACTTCACACTGAACCCATTACTTTTCCAAGATCAGAGAAAATATTACATTAACAGGAACTACTTCTTATTCAGATAAGAATTTAAGGTTTTAATCTATAATTTTTATCTAGAATAATTAGCTGTACCATGATAAGACATACAGACCAGCTGCATATATTTAAGTGCTTCTGTTAATCTCTCTCTCTCTCTGTCTCTGTCTCTCTCTCTCTCTCTCTCTCTCTCATTTATTTATTTTCTGGATAGCTTTGACATTGTAAACCACAGACAAATTGGAGCCTGGCATTGAAAGGAGGTGTTCTGCAACGATTTTTTTTTTCTTGTTTAAAGAAGTTTACTTCTACAAGAGGAAATCTGGAAAATGACAGGAGCAAAGAGGAAAAAGAAAAGCGTGCTTTGGAGCAAGATGCATACCCCTCATTGTGAAGACATTAAGCAGTGGTGTAGAAGGCGGCTACCTATTTTGGAATGGGCACCACATTACAATCTGAAAGAAAACTTGCTTCCGGACACTGTGTCTGGGATAATGTTGGCAGTTCAACAGGTGACCCAAGGTAATGTATTGCATTTGATTCTTCTGTATTATGCAGATTAGATGTCACTTTGCTTTCTTGGAAGAGTATTGCCACCCAGAATCCACAGTGTAGCTGAAGAAATGGATGTTAACTTTGGGGAAAGAAATAACACACTGGATATCAGTGTACATGAGTTTTTCTAATTGTGTTTTCTTCCCCTACTTTTTGATAGCTGTTAGGCACTGAATCAATTTTTGAATACTATTACATATTTGCAATATTACAATTCATACTGTTTTAGAGCAAAAGATCAGTAGTTGTGGGAGAATGAGTTTTTATAACGTGATCTCACTGATAGAGTTTCCTACTTTTATGGAATCAAGCTATAAAATATCTCCTGGCTTGAATACAATCATTTTTTAACCTAATTAGCAGCACACAATTACCTGTTGTAGCCTTGAGAGTTCCTATAAACAAGGAACAAAGCTTTCTGTACATAAAGAAGGCTCTTTGCCAAGATCCTTATTTGCAAGGAGAATCCTGTATGTCCTTAGAGCTTATGTTTTACTGTACATGCCGATTTACTTCTGTGTCACGTTACCTATCACATCTATTTCTCAATAAGAAATTTAAACCAGTGAGGAGTCTGATTTTAACTTTCCCAAAGCAGATTCTAAATATTCTGGATTTGGATAGGTGTTTTTATTGCTGAAAGCTAGTTACCTAGTGTGCACGTGTGTAGATGTGTTTTCCTTAAAGGCATTTTCACTGCAGTTTTTGTCTTAATTCAGGTAATAGTTTTGTACCTGTATAGCAAGGAAAGGCATTAGTTTTGTAGCCTTGAGAATTTGGAGCAGTTTCCTTGGCATAGACTCTGTAGGTTTATATTTCCTTGTAGTTTCACTGCCTCCTTGGCTTTAACTATTATTCATATTGTTAAATTATAAACACTCTTTTAATTAAATTATTCTGTAGCTGGAACAAACTGGTTTGTATATTTGTGTTTTTAGTATGATTAGGAACATCTGCACTGGTGGCTTTATTTTAAGATCCATAATACTATCATATTTTATGGAATTGCATTTCACTGAATAGTCTTGTATTACATTTTTAATGACCATTCTGCCAATAGCAAAGCATAGTAATCTTTCAGAAAAATGCAAAGCAAATAACAGGTTAGGGCATTTTTAGCCTTGTTTTTACTAAATTTTGAATTCAAATTGCAATACTACCATAAACTTTGAAAACTTAGGTGATGAACTCAAAGGGGCTTTTTCACCAGATAGTTCTGGCATATATTATAAATTTATTTTGCTTTAATTTAATGTAAAATTAATGAGAACTATGTTTGTAGTAATCTTTTTGTTTTTTACCTTTGGAAAGTATCAGGTTAATAAGAAAATTTGGAGATATGATAAAGATACCTGTGGCACATCATTAGTAATATTGTTTATATGTAAGTCTTTGGTAGTTAATTGTATGATTTTAATTTAGACATAGATTTTGAGAGGTTTTGTTTTATGAATCATGCATTTCATTGGTTATAAAGAAACATATTGGCCAGCCTCTCCACCCCAGGGCCAATGAGAAACGCAAAGCTTACTCAGCCCTTATGTCTTGGGACGAGATGGAACTGGCTGGTGGTTCTCTTGGAAGGCGACCAGTGAATGGTTGAGGCTGCGCTGCTGGGGAGAACTTCAAGGTTTCTGCTGGTGCCTGAAAAGCCTAGTCCTCCTAAAAGTACCTATTCTTTTAAAAACAGTTATCTCGAACTTTTTCATGCTCATCTACCATGGAGAGCTAAAAAGTGAAATGTCGTAAGCTGCCACTTGTTGTAAGAGGCACTGTGCTAAACCCCGTATGTAATCATCTCCCCCTACCCTAACAAAACCCTGAGAGACAGCAGTCTCTTTTCCATATCCCATATGAGAAAATGGAGGCTTAGCAGAGAAAGGAATTTTCCCTGGACCTCAGACCTGATAAGTGGTAGAGTCAGGACTTGATTCCAAAGCCAACACTCTTAACATTTTCACTTCATACTCTACCCTGCCAAAATAACCAGACTTCTCATAATGTCAGTGTTATTAGTAACAGAAGACATTTCTTTGGAAAGGTACGAATGTCCTTCCCTTCAAATTACTTTTGCATTCAGGTTTCACCCCTGCAGGTTTTAGACTCAAGGGCGAAGTGACAAGAAAAATAACTAGAGTAGGATACAGGGCAAGGAAGGCATTTAGATATCATCACTTCATATTTGTGTGAATATGATATTGGCAATTATTATCAGCTCCATTTCTTTAGGAACATTAGGAGAAAGAAGGGGTTACTTTTGTTCTTGTATCATAACACAAACAAAAGGAACACATACCTTTGTTAACTCTACTGATTTTCCAAGCAGCTTTTCACTTACTCAGCATAGTTGAATTACATGAAACTATCAACTTCAATGTTTTTCTAACTTACATTGGTCAATTGCTGACCAAATTGGTCCATGTTTTTTGACCAATGTATGTCAAAAAAACATAGAAAGTTTATATGATTCAATCTAGCAGTTGTTTTTCATTCTTCTCTCTCAATAAATGCATTTAAAATTAAGAAGGGTGATGGAAACTAACAATTGGGTGTTTTCTACATGTCAGCTACCAAGAAGATATTCAAATAACTTTATTAAAGTTTTTCTAATTGTTAAATGTGGATGATTTTCTGTTACCAGTTTACTTGACTCCTCTATAGCATTTTCTGTGTTGATTATTCTCTTTCTAAACTTTCTTTTCTTCATTTTTGGATACCACTTTTTTTGTTTTTCTACTGCTACTGTCTGCCTTTTTCTTCTTCTGTTCCTCTGAAATTTTACCTCCTACTCTGCCCATTAAATGTCAGTGTCCTGGAGACTCAAACCCTACTTCTCTCAAAGTACCATGGGTGATTTCATCCACATAACATATACTAATGAAACTTTCTGCTCAACTTGAGATCTCCATATTTAACTATGCAAAGCTAGAATGTTCTAAAAACACTCCAAATGCAACATTCAGTCTTTTAACACAAATACAGTGAAACCACCATCCTAACCAGGATTATAATAATCAATAATAATAACAGTAATGTTTAGGCATGGAAATAGCACTATTGTAAGAACACTTGACATGTATACAAAACTGAAGCTCCCAGAGAATAAATAACTTGCTGAAAGTCACAGAGCAAATGGGTGGAAAGGGTAGGATTTGAACCTATATGTATTCTGGCTCCCGAGATGATGCTCTTACCTTTATACCAGACTATTTCCTGTAGAAAGTCTTGTGAGTCATTCTCAACTCTTCCTGCTCTTTTGCCACCCTGCCCACTGGCATACAATCAGCCACCAGGCTCTGTCGTTTCCATCCCCTAAATATCTTTCCACCCAGGTAGTCTTACCTCACAGCCCCTGCTGCTGCCCTAATTCTCTGTCTGAACATTTATAATCATCATCTTGAGAATCTTCATTTTCTACTTTATCTCCACCTGTAGGCTATACTCCACACTTCAGCCAGAATAATTATAAAAATCCGAATGTATTGCTTCCCTGTTCAAGATTCTTTGATGATCCTCTATCTCCTGTAAGATAAAAACCTAATTCTTCAGCATATCCTATTAGATCAGTAATCATCTGAGCCTCTTGACACAAAGTTATACTCAAAGAGATCTTTCCCCTGAGAATCCTTCCCAATCGCCTGGGAAGACTTATGTTTTCTTCCCTCCTACTCCCTTTGTACTTTTTACATATCTCTGTGATAGGCCTTAACACACTGTATTATGATATTTTGGTACAACTCTTTCCACACTGGTCTGTAAGCTCTGGAAACAAAGACAATGTCTTAATCTTCACATTCTTACCTCCTTATATATTGCTTGGCATATAAATGTTTATTGGAGGAATTAAAATATTCTAGAGGCTGATGATGGTTCTATTGCACTATACTTCCCCACTAGGAAGGAAATTGATTAAATTAATCCCCATGTTTTATACATAAATGTAATAAAGATGTTTATAGTAAAAAAAAAAACCTTAAAAATATGAGTAATTGATTTTTTCTAACTTCTTTTACTTTCTGGAAGTTACAAACATGCAGCCTTCCAGACAAATCTGGTAAAAGACACATTTCCTTTGTTCTAAACAGTTTAATTTTCTTTAGCCAATATTAACAAATATGAATAGTTCATATAAAAATCCAGATGCCTCACTTCTCTTGAAAAAGCTAGGGAGACACAGCCACAGGGGACCCAAATTCTCACGTGGCAAAAATCTGCTGGACCTTCATAGAGGCCTGCCTTTTGCATTTCGCTACATCCACTCACACATTCACTGTCACCCTCCTGCCAGTAGTCTCATTACCTACCTAGTCCTGTGGGTGACAAATTTGTCTCCTCTGCCAAGACATTTTCTAACATGCTCTGTTGCAATGACTTGAACTCACCCTTGAATAATAATAATAATAATAATAAACCTTTACAGAGAGATTACATAACATTAGTTCTTAACCTTGATCCACAGACTCATCATGTCTGTGAACCTGGACTCATTAATAGTCTAATATATTTCATTTATTTATAATCCTTGCATTGTCTCCTCCTTTTTTTTTGAGACATACTCTCACTCTGCTACCCAGGCTAGAGTGCTGTGGCATCAGCCTAGCTCACAGCAACCTCAAACTCCTGGGCTCAAGCAATCTTCTTGTCTCAGCCTCCCAAGTAGCTAGGATTACAGGCATGGGTTACCATGCTGGGCTAATTTTTTCTATATATTTTTAGTTGTCCAGCTAATTTGTTTCTATTTCTGGTAGAGACAGGGTCTCACTCTTGCTCAGGCTGGTCTTGAACTCCTGAGCTCAATCTGCCCACCGCAGCCTCCTAGAGTGCTAGGATTACAGGCGTGAGCCACTGTGCCTGGCCATCTCCTACTTATTTTTAAAAAGGTATTCTGCAATGGAGTCCCTAGGCTTTAATCAGACTGCCAAAGGGGTGATTTCCCCTCTCCAAACGAAATAAATATAAGTATAAAT